TACGGCATTTACGGCACTGTGTGGCTCTTCGGGGAGCTGTGTGGTTCTCAGGTGGTCTATAAGGGTTTTCAGCTATCGCTAGAGCTGCGGCCCTTTGTTAATGCGGACCTGGGCTCACGTGCCAGTAGAGAGTGCCCCGCGTGCCATAGGTTCGCCAACCCTGGTCTAGGGCATCGGCTTCATCTCACTCAACAGCAACATGATCAATTAAAAGTTGATTTAAATATTTTTTTTTTAATGTAACACTTTATTAACACTTAGTTTACCCTCATCAGCCCTGATCAAGTCCCTCTTCCCTCTCCCTATAATGGGGCAGCCGGAGATGGTTGCCACATATGGCATCTCATTGGGTCATCTGCCACCCACTTTCCAGCCAGAGCATCCCAGCTTGTTAAGTGCTCTTTTTAACCTGTGACGCTCTGACTGGCACCCCGCCCATCTCCTGCAACCCCACCCAGCTCCTGGAACCCCGCCCAGCTCCTGGCACCCCGCCCAGCTCCTGGCACCCCGCCCAGCTCCTGGCACCCCGCCCAGCTCCTGGCACCCCGCCCAGCTCCTGGCACCCCGCCCAGCTCCTGGCACCCCGCCCAGCTCCTGGCACCCCGCCCAGCTCCTGGCACCCCGCCCAGCTCCTGGCACCCCGCCCAGCTCCTGGCACCCCGCCCAGCTCCTGGCACCCCGCCCAGCTCCTGGCACCCCGCCCAGCTCCTGGCACCCCGCCCAGCTCCTGGCACCCCGCCCAGCTCCTGGCACCCCGCCCAGCTCCTGGCACCCCGCCCAGCTCCTGGCACCCCGCCCAGCTCCTGGCACCCCGCCCAGCTCCTGGCACCCCGCCCAGCTCCTGGCACCCCGCCCAGCTCCTGGCACCCCGCCCAGCTCCTGGCACCCCGCCCAGCTCCTGGCACCCCGCCCAGCTCCTGGCACCCCGCCCAGCTCCTGGCACCCCGCCCAGCTCCTGGCACCCCGCCCAGCTCCTGGCACCCCGCCCAGCTCCTGGCACCCCGCCCAGCTCCTGGCACCCCGCCCAGCTCCTGGCACCCCACCCAGCTCCTGGAACCCCACCCAGCTCCTGGCACCCCGCCCAGCTCCTGGCACCCAGTGAAATCAGTTAGCTGGGCGGGATGCCAGACAGAAGTACCGTGCACCCCCTCTCCACCATTAATGTGCACCCCCATTCACCTTACCCCACCTCCCTGGCCTCAGATCGTTAGAATTGTAAGGACTCCCCTGCCTTTACCTATTGTTCTCCTGATGAGTTCTTATTGTCTATTTCCATTTTTTTTTACTGTTCAGATTTAAACTTTTTTGTTTCTTTTGTTCCTTACATTTTTTTTTTTTTTTTTAGTGTTGCATATAAAAAAAAGCAAAACATTG